TTCTGTCAGTGGTAAAACGACAAGTAAACCAAAGTCTGCTGATATGTTCCTGTCACACATTCACAAATTTGGCCTCCCGAACGCTAACTGAACGCCGAACAAGGAGTGGGTCGGCCTAAAGTCGGCTGGCGTTCGGCGAATTCGGCCACGGTTCAGCTGCGCCAGCCGGACGTTTGAAAACGTTTAAGGCTAATGTACCTTAAGTGGATCGTTCGGGAAGTTCGATCATAGTTGTCTGGTTTTCGACCGTAAGTCAGCAAAACAAAAGTCAACCATAAGGAAGTAAGTCAATGGTGTTCAGGACGTGTTCAGGGGTCAAATTTGACTCCAATTTAACTCAAATTAATTTCAATTCGTATAGAAAAGCGTGGCCTAAATGAGATCAAAGCTGGTGTTCGGGAACTGATTCGGGAATATGCCGTGAATGTATAACAGGAGCTTTGATGTTTCACAGTGACGATGATATAGACGAGCGTTCCCGCGCAGTTGCACAGAGGAAGTACAGACGGCGGATCAGCCACTGCGCACAGCGGGTCGGCACCTTCATGACTCTGGGCAAACTGGGACCTGGCAGAACTTTTGTAAGTAGTGGACAGCTACGATTCCGTTCAGACAAAGAACACCTTCTGTTCTTTCCGGTGTCATAGCGCTTACAGTGATTTCGCCCTACCCGCTTGTGATTTGATTAGATCTCCGGAGGGGGGGGGGCGAAATCGTTAGCGATCTCACCCCTTGGAAGGACGAAATCTCGGGGGGGGGGGTGCGATCACTGTGACACCGACGGTACATGAATGGTTTGTTACTAATCATAATTGTTGACACCCCTGTATGGCTGTAACCCGAGTATATGTCAAATAACTGTGTCAGTTGGATAGAATCTGTATCTGTATCAGTATAGCCGGTATAACCGTCCTTCGGCGTAACACACCAGCTTAGATATATGGCTATATGATAATAAACCAATGCCCCGCCTTATATAATCCCTACACTCACTCGATGGTTTATTCGGTGGTGGTTATCGCACATGACCAGGGATTATCTCACCATATACACCTCGGGGCTCGGCATTAACCCTTTATTATCCCTGCCGACAGGGTCTGGCCCATGTTTTGGACGCCCCCAT